ATAATGATTGACCCTATAGATTCTGATTATTCTGATTGCAGTTTTGACAACCATTACTGAGAAAACAGCAACTGTTGTAAAATAGTATTCACTGAATCCAAGAAGGATATACTCATGTGTTCCTGCCGATGTCTTTCTGAGGTGACATTACCTGGCTCTGTGTGTAGATCAGCACCGTCCAATAGACATTTCTGTGATGATCAGTGCTCTTTCTCTGTACTGTCCAATTTGGTAATTCTGAGACTATTGGGCATTTGATATGTGGCTAGTGACACAGAGAGGCTGAATTTTTAACTTTAATTTAAGAGTTTAAGTTTAAATAAGCACAGGTGATTGGCGGCTGTCACATTGGACAGGGTATGCAGCTTTCACCCTCCTCATCCCCAAGTGCTGGTGACAGCAATTTCAATCCAGGGCACCTAGAACTTTCGTCAGCAGCAACAACTAGTATTTGAATAGTCCTAATGTCCTTAGCACCTGGAACTGTGCATTTTGACAGATGGGTTTTCTCTTCTTTCATAGGAGAGGCTTATGCTTTGAGCAAGCATTGTAACTAAACCGGACTGTTTTCCTTGGTCACACAGAACAGCACAGCTGCCCATGTGCCTGGGAAAGACACAGAGCAGCACAGTGGCAGGCTTTGAGTGAGGGACCTAGGAATTAACAAGTCCAACAGCAGGTGTTCATGTTGAAAATAGAAAGTTCTTTTTATATCCATTAAGAAAATATCTGCCTGCCACCCTTGATAAAGCTCTTTGGCTAAGGTGTGTCTGGGGCCCACACTGTCTTTGGGGCCCCTTCTGCACCTGGACTCCTCTTCATCTCTGTTTTAACAACATTCACATGTGTTTTCCTTCAGTACAAATGGCCAGAGTCTGTTCACTGCCCAGGTGGTGGGTCCAGTGTCCTCCACACACATCATACTCCCTCCCATCTAAAGGCCAGACTTTCTGGACACATATGAGTGACTCCAGGAGCCCTTCATAAAGCTTTTCACCAGTACTAACAACTGTATTTGTTCAACAGCTGCTGTGTTCCAAGAAATGTAATAGTTACTGTGTGTTTATTTTCTAATTTGCATGACAACCCTGTAAATTAGATATTATACCTCCAGTTTTGTGAGGGGGAGAAAATCAGAGATTTAAGTAACTTAACCAAGTCTTAATAGCTGGTAAATGACAAAGCCAGGGCTCAGACACATTCTAGTTTTTTCATCTGAAAGGTGACTAGACAATCTTATTAGCTGTGTGGCCTTGGTAAATCACTTACTGTCTCTGACCTTCAATTTCCACATCTGGAAGATGAGGAATTAATAATGGATGCCTCCAGGGCAGACAGGGAGCAAGTCTGAAGCTTTTCCAGAGCCCTTCTGGTACATGGGGAGATGTTTCCCTGGCTATATTCAATTCCTTCCCCATGCCTCCTGTGTTCTTGACGTCTTTTTTATCCTTTATTTTTTTTTCACAGTTGCTTATCCTTATTGGTAAAAATGCTCAGCTGAATTACTGCCATCCAAAAGACATTAGTGAGTCTCTGCTGTGGACAGAAACTGTGCTGGGTGTTTAACATAATAAATGGTGGAATAAATTTAGGGACCCAAATGTATCTTTTTTCACTAAAATTTGTTGAGAGTTTTCTACAGCTTGACCATTCTAAATACTTTACATGTATAATTTATTTAACTTGGAAACGACACTTTGAAGGGATGATTGTAGTGATCCCCATCACACAGCTGAGGAAACCCTGGTTACTTGCCTGGTATGACACAACTTATAAGTGATGGAGCTGGGACCAAAATTCATCCAGGTTGGTTCCAAAGCCCACCCTCCTAACCCCAAGGCTCTGAGGCACCCTGTCCTTGTGTGTGCCAGTTAACATGAGAACATCACACTGGACAGGGCCACAAAAACAAAATATGCCACCGGGTGCATGGGGATACAAAGACAGATGAGAACTGTGCTCCACCCCCAGGAAAGCAGACACTAAGTCTAACAAAGAGCACATTAGGTACAGGAAGGTATGTGAGTGCTGATATGAAGTCCTGTGAACTTCACAGGGATCATATCTGGTTTAGCTACTCAGAACCAGTTGCTCAAGAACCATCATGTCACTTGCACCTTAAACAAAAGGTTAGATTTCAGGGGATGGAAGGAAGCAAAAATGAAACCATTCATAGCAGAAGGGAAGCCATGAGCCACAGGACATGGGGGAGGCAGAATGAGGTATCTCTCGGACCATCATCAGGAGCCCCTGTTGCTGGGACCTTCAACACCCATGGGGACCAGTGTGTTCTACACAGGGTGAGATGTGAAGAGATTACCAAAGACCAGAGACGGCCACCCTCGTGGGGCAGAGGGTCAAGGGGCCACCCCAGGCAGGTAGAGGACAGGAGGGACAGGAGCACAGGAGACTTAGAAGTCACAGGAGGAGTGACTTGGGAAGAGTGAGAGTTCAATAATGCAAACATCATGGAGAGGTCTAGAGAGATAGAGAATGAAAACAAGTTAGTGGCTTCAGTGTTTAAGAGATGATGAATGACCTTCAAGGGGACGGTTAGAGTAAAATGGTAAAACAGGCCTGGATTGTTGAGTTGTTGGAGAGAATGATGGGCCAAGGGCCAGCCAAGAAGAGAGAGTTGGTGTGTCAGCCACACAGGGACAGAGGAAGGGCCCACTTTTGTGCAGGAGGTGCAGAGAGGAAGTTGAGGGTCACTTAAAATGTGTAAAACAGCCTCAAAGTGACAGCTGGACAGGGAAGAGGATAGGGCAAAGGGCAGGCCCCAGAAGACAGGGATGACATGTGCTAAGGCTAGAGGCAATGGGCAAGGCCAACTGGGTTGTGTCCCCCAATCTCTTGTGGGGTGACCCTGAACCTGCCCACCCCATGGGGCTCGGTGCTCTGCTCGGGGCTGGTTGTTGTGGGGCATTTCCACATGGGAACACCCAGCCCCTCCTGTGGACTCTGCTACCGGGCTGTTCATAGACTTAATATCTTTTTTTTTTTCTTCCTCCTTTTCTTTCAAGAATTAGCAATGGGCTCAAGGAAACCCAAATAGGATGTGCCACAAACCCCCAGGGGCAGTGGTGAGTCAGCCAGAACCCATCCAAGAAGTGAAGCAGCCTGGGTGGGCGGGATCTGATGCTTGAGTGTCTCTTAACCCCTTTAGGGCTGGCAGGCCTGGAGGGACCACCTTGTTAGTGCTTCGCTGTCATAGTCCTGAAATTCTTAGCGAATTCTGAACACAGGTGTAGCTGCTCTTGTCCCCTCTTCTCATTCATGCTGGCAATTTCCCCCCTTTGCCAAAAACTTTCAGCAGTCCCAGCGGGGTGCCAGTCTGTACCTGAAGGCCTGCCCCCAGGGCTTTTCTGGGTGGGCTGTGCAGCGGGCCACGGCCCTCCAGACCCCCTATTCAGCGCCGGCAGTAAGTGGAATATCAGGCTAGCGCCTGCTGTGCTCCACCAAGGCAGCCGGACCCTCCAATCTGCTGTCTTTCCTTCCTCTTCCAAAGGAGCAGTCGCCCCAGCCTCCGAACCATCTCTGTGTTGGGGCTGGGGCAGGCTTTCCAGGACACAGCGGCGACCGGCGGGCTGGTGCCGGGGCTCCTCAGGTCCCAGTTCACCCCCTCCACGCGGGGCAATTGTGAGCGAAGGGAGGAACCAGTGCCCACGCTCCGTCCCCTTGGTCGCTGTCTGTTCCTACAGTCCGCGGGCAGTGCCTGTCTTTAGCTTGTGAGGACGCCACAGAGTCTGGGTTCTGCTGGACCAGGGAGGCAAGACTCCGGGGTAAGCCGAGGAGTCCGCGGGTCTGCTTGGGAGCGAATTTCCCGCCCCTGGGCGAGGCCTCTGCGTTCCCCACACTTATAACCCATTTTTGCTAAACATGATTGGAGATCACCAACCTCTTCGACTTTGTTTAGAGTTCAACAGCGCCGCCGCCCGGTACCAGCTGTGAGTGACCACAGAGGAGACATGGCATAGGGTACACAAAGAAAGAAAAAGTTTTCCACTCTCCGATATGTTTTGGACCCACCCCTCCGCATTCTTGGTAAGTGAATAAGCGGATAAGGTCGCGAAAGTAGCAGATTCCCATCTCATCCCGCTCGCTCCCCATCCTGCTCTGCCGCAGGTCCGCCCCACTTTGCGGCGCAAGTGGCATTTATATGCACCTCTGTATCAACATGATCTCAGCCAAATGTAAAATCCTTAACAGACCCGGAGGGGAATCTGCTTGGGGCCCGCAGTGCCTCCTTTCTAGGGCTCCCTGAACGCCCCATTGTGGGTGCAAGATGGACTGTCCCTCAGTGAAACTGGAAGAAAACGGACCAAATCAGCGAATGAGCTCCTTAACACTCTTGCCCCTACAGGTCTCGGCAAGAATTCGCCTGCTACCGCTTCTGAAGGGTGACAAGACCTTGGAGACTTGACAGCATCCCCGATACTTTTCCATGCGATGAGATGAGGTCTGGCCTCGGCGGCTTGTGCTCAGGGACTTGCTGGTCCTTAGCTGTGCGCAGGCGGCACAGGTGTTAGGCCAGGCCCTCCCCCGCAACCCTTCTCCTGTGTCGCCCAAGGCACATGCTCTGTCCTGTGGTGTATAGCGCATCCCTGCACCCTGCTAGGTGCCTGGCCGGTAAGGGGTCCAGCCATCTCCTGGCGACCGCGTCTTTAAAGAAGTCCACGCCCTGGACATCCCCTCTCAAAGCCCGCTTCCTAGCAGGAATTTCCTTCCAGAACCCTGCAGGTCCCGAGCACTATTCTCCACCATCCCCCATTTAAAGCCCCCCATTGCCCTGTCTCCTTTCCCAAAGCCCTGCAATCCACGTTTTCCTTGAAATCGGTGGGAATAACACATTTAGAAAGAAAAAGAAAGACTACCAAGAGATTAGGAGGGGATGCGGATTAAACCCCCTTTAGGGCTGCGAGAGCAAGGGCTCAGTGGTCGGGGCGGGCACAGAGCCTCCCTGGCCGAGGTGCTGTCGCCCTGAGGCGCCTGTGCCTGGAGACCCCGCCCGGGACCTCGCAACGCCCAGGCCGGGTTTACTCATCTCTGCGAGGTGATCCCAGGCGCGAGGGCGGGCACAAGGCGTCCGGAGAACCCAGTAATCCGAGAATGCAACCTCAGCCCTTCCCACCAGGCACTTCCTTCCTTTTCCCGAACGCCCAGGGAGGGAGGGCCGCGCACTTATAAACTCGGGCCAGGGCCTGCCGGCCTGTCAGAGGCTGCCTAGCTAAAGCTGCCCGCCGCTGCCGGACGCCTCCGGGCTGGGACTGACGCCCCGCGCCTCTCAGCCTTTGCCTGGTCCCAGTCCCGTCGCGGTTCCGGCGCTCTCCCTGGCTCCTGCACGCGTCGTGCCTGGAATCATGCTACGGGTCCTGCTCCTTGGAGTGCTGGCCCCAGCCGGCCTGGGGCTGCCGGCATCCCCGGAGCCGCAGCTGCGCGGCAGCCAGTGCGTCGAGCACGACTGCTTCGCGCTCTTCCTGGGCCCCGCGACCTTCCTGGCCTCCAGCCAGACCTGCGAGAGCCTGCAGGGCCACCTGATGACCGTGCGCTCTTCGGTGGCAGCTGATGTCATCTCCCTGTTACTGAGTGGCGACGGCAGCTATGGCCAGCGCCTCTGGATCGGCTTGCAGCTGCCACCTGGCTGCGTCGACCCGGGGAACCGCGGGCCCTTACGCGGTTTCCAGTGGGTCACGGGAGACAATCGCACCAGCTACAGCAGGTGGGCGCGGCTCCACGCCGACCCGGCGCCTCTGTGCGGTCCGCTGTGCGTCGCAGTCTCGCCAGCCGGGGCCCCTGCACCCGGCGAGCCGGTCTGGGAAGAGCAGCAGTGCGCCGCGGAGGCCGACGGTTTCCTCTGCGAGTTCCAGTTCGCCGCCTCCTGCAAGCCCCTGGCCGTGGAGACCGGCGTCGCGGCGGCCGCCAGTGTCCCGGTCATTTACGGCACCCCGTTCGGGGCCCACGGCGCGGACTTCCAGACGCTGCCGGTGGGTAGCTCCGCCGCCGTGGTGCCCCTCGGGGTGGAACTGGAGTGCGCGGCGCCGCCGGGAGAGTCCGAGGGGCGCTGGGTCCGTGAGGCGCCGGGCGCCTGGGACTGCCGCGTGGAGAAGGGCGGCTGCCAGCACGCGTGCAACGGGAGCGCCGGGGCGTCGCGCTGTCTCTGCCCTGCGGACGCCGCCCTGCAGGCGGACTCGCGCTCCTGCGTGGCGCCCGAGGAACACTCGTGCCACCAGGCCTGCGAGCATTTCTGCGTGGGTGACCCAGGGGTGCCAGACGCCTACTCGTGCATGTGCGAGACCGGATATCAGCTGGCTTCGGACAAGCACAGATGTGAGGACGTGGATGACTGCTTGCTGGTACCCAGTCCGTGCCCGCAGCACTGTGCCAACACCCAGGGTGGCTTCGAGTGCCACTGTTACCCTGGCTACGAGTTGGTGGACGGCGAGTGCGTGGAGCCCTTGGACCCATGCTTCGGGACTAACTGCGAGTACCAGTGCCAGCCCCTGGGACACACGGACTACCGCTGCATCTGCGCAGAGGGCTTCGCGCCCAAATTGCAGGAGCCACATCGGTGCCAGATGTTCTGCAACCAGACTGCGTGCCCAGCAGACTGCGACCCCCATGACCAGGCTTCCTGTCAGTGCCCCGAGGGCTATATCCTGGACGAGGGCTTCATGTGCACGGACATCGACGAGTGTGACAATGGCTACTGCCCCCATGGGTACACATGCCGCAACCTCCCCGGCAGCTACGAGTGCATCTGCGGGCCCGACTCCACTCTCGCAGGCCAGGCTGGCACTGACTGTGATCCCCTCCAGGTGGACAGACACGACGACGGCGGCTCTGGGGAGCCCCCTGTCAGCCCGATCCCCGGCGCCACCTCGACCCCCTCGGCAGTAGGGCCCGTGCATTCGGGTGTGCTCATTGGCATCTCCATCGCGAGCCTGTCTCTGGTGGTGGCGCTTTTGGCGCTCCTCTGCCACCTGCGCAAGAAACAAGGTACTGCACGGGAAGAGCTGGACTACAAGTGTGGGTCCCCCGCCAAGGAGGTGGTGCTGCACCACGTGCGAACCGAGCGTATGCTTCAGAGACTCTGAGCCAACTCCTCAGGCTGGCATAGACCTGGCCTTTCCCTCCCCGCTGAGCCTCACCCCTCTCTGTTCACCCACTCGTACTCCCTGGCTACCCAGAGCAGTTTAGCTGGACAAGACCCTCCCCGGACGCCCACCTGCTCCTTTCCCTGATTCCACGCAGGCTGGCGGGATGGAAGGGTGTGTGCCCCAGTCACTTCCAAGACGTCGTCCCATAACGGCTGGTGACTGCGACATTGTGATGAAGACATAGATGCAAAGTGACCCTGCCCTCATCAAGGGGTGCAGGAGGGGCAAGCATTACTGGCTGGTAGCCTTTGGGGCAGACTGTGCTCCCCTGGGCCAGTCAGTGTAATTTAGTTGTGGATAATGACCAAGATATTTATTTTTTAAATATAGGACTTTTTCTCCCTTCTGCTTTTTTCCTATGTGTATGTCTCAATACCTTCTACCCTCCCTCACTTACTCTGCTACCTCTCTCTCTCCTTCCCTATCTATTGTATTTATTGCTCCCACTGATCATGTAGCAGTTAAACTGTCTGTCTTTGTGATTTTTTCCCCCAGCACTCTGGCATTTATGAAGTCAAGCCTCATTTCCAGCCCCCTGATTTCTCCCAAATTTTCCCCTCTTAGGAATTCAGCCCTCCCACTGAGTCACCCTATGTGTGTCGGACTCTACTTCTGCTCTTCACCATCTGCACAGGCAGAACGCCTATGTGAGACAGAAACAAAAACACTATGAGCAAAAGTGGTTGGGGATTTGCTCTTTCACAGACTTGTTAATTTATCCTGGAATTCCAGACTTCCAGAGCAATGTAATTTTAACAAAGGTTAATATGTAAGAGAATTTGTTAAACTAATGTTGCTGGACTGTCATTGAAATTCAACCCAAGGGGTTTTTATTTTTATTTTATAAACAGTGAGCCTGGGTTTTATTGTTGTTTTGATTTGGATTGAAAAGTAGTAATTGTTGTTAAGATTCTTGTGTAGTTTCCTTTTCCATTATTATTAATTAATAATGATAATTGTTATTATTACTAATTTTTGACAGTGTCAAAAATGTTCACATGATTGTTCTAGATTGAGAGAAGGAAACATCTCCCAAGAGGCAATTCAAGAAAATTTTAATTGTGTAATTCATGTCAATTACCATTTTGACTCCGACTGTTCTTTGTAGGCTAAAATGAAACCAGTGCTATTGGATTTTTGGGATTTGGGAGCTTGGGGATAGAGCCTGGAGGACACCCAGTTAGGGCCTCATCTTGATCAGGCTCTCAAGAATTTCCCTCACTTTGGAGGGAGCTTCTAACCCTGGTCACTTAGAACATGGTCCCTGAACAAGAAGCAGGAGCCACCCTTACAGCTGGTTAGAAATGCAGAAACTCAGGCTCCCCTCCACCTACTGCATGAGGATCTCTGTATTTTAACGTCTGTAGGGGAGTTGTCTGCTCAGTATAGTTTGATGAGAACTGTTCTGCACAGCTTCCATCTTTCTAGAATACGTTAAATATGGCTCAGTCGTAAGCAGCAGGCCAAGTCGGTCCCTATGTTCTCAAGAAACTGAGGAATTTTCATTTTATAGCTTTGCTTTCTGGCAGAAGAGACTCGGCACCCACCTTTAGATGTTGCTGCACAGGGTCTGTGGTTTAACTAAGCTAGGAATGGAATCATATTTCAGTGTATGGGGAAAGTGTAGCGTGTAAGTGTATCTTTTGCCACACCAAGGATTTCCTCTTCTATTTGTAAACTCAGCACATTTGTACATATTTATTTATTGGAGTAAACTAGAACAGGGGCAAAACTCTTGCTTATGACATCACATGTAGGAAATAAACAAATACTGAGTGTTCTTGGGTGTTGTGTCTGTTTTCCTCCCCTCTCCCATTTTATATCATTAAGAGGGGCTCACAAACAATGCAGAGCTGTGAGATGCATTTAAAGGCTGCTCCACACCCCATCACTAGCTCCATCTTCTTGTGGCATCATCTCTGATTTTCAAAGATCTTCCCAGAGGAGATTGTTTTCACTGTAGAAGGACTTCATGTTTTGTCTGTGCATAATTATTTATTTTTTCCTTCTGTAACCATAACAATTTCATACACAAGCCTTGTGTCTATGTGTTTTAAAATACATTATAGGATTATTTGTTGGGATCAGTTAAAGAAGTAGTCCTTCTTGGAACATCTCTAGATTCCCAGCTGTGTGTCCTGCAAACGGTTTGGCATTTTCAGCCCTCTGGGGTGTCCAAATGCTACAGTCATGAGGGTCTCATTCCATGGCTCAACTTCAAATGCTCATTTCCACATAGTAAGGTCTCATGCACTCTTAGAAGAGTCTCATTTCTGTTGAACATTAGAAGCACTGTCTTTTGAACACATGTTTCTTATGCCCCTTTTTTCTGGGATGGTGGAACTGGCTGAATTTTATCTGTAGTGCTATGGAAATTTTCATAAAGCAGAAGTTGGCAGAAAATTGAGTTTGATCAAATATTCACATATTTTTATACATCTGGGTAATGTTGAATTTCTCCATTTTAATCCAAGTCATTACTGTTGTGAAGGTACAGTAGGGATTTCAACATCCACATTGGGTGACATGGACAGCTTTGGGGGAGCTGAGGGGTGAACTGTTGCCCTACTGAGATAACAAGCTGAGCAATGTCTCTCTGGAAACCTGTTAGATGAGCAGAAAAGTAAATTCGTCAGTAAGTAGGTGAGAAAGGATAACTGAATCAATGGAGGCAAAGCAGGGGCAGTGATGGTGCTGGGGTCCAGAGGAGAGAGAGATGCTGCTCCAACTGGTCTTCATTGCCAGCCTTCCAGTTTTCAAAAGGGCCTGCTCCCAGCCACTGTCAAAGTGCCTCCCAAGGGCTCACTGCTTAGGATTTCTTCCTCAAGAAGAAGGGCATTTCCTTAAGGAACACAGAAGATTAAAACACACTTTTTAAGACCCAGAGGCTAAACCCTTACCAGGGTATCTTGAACCCCAGGACATTAGCAGGGTGGAGGCCCAGGTCCTCCTTAGCTTCCTCACTTTCTGTCCCATGGGAGATCATTATTCTTGTTTACAGGCCTCATCTGAACTTGAGGTTCTCAAAACAAGTAAGAAACCACAGTCCCTCTCTGAGAAAGACACCAGGGCCATATAAATAAGCAGTTAGTTTATAGAGCTATCCCCTGGCATGTACACCAGGGTGGCCTCTATGAATCAGGGGCTGTGGGTCAACCTGCCTGGCCTCTGCTTTCTGTTCACATTCCTGGACATCTGCATCTGAGGGATGGTCCCATATCTCAGCAAGTGGTGCAAGGTGGCAGTGAAGTGCACCAGCTCACAGGGCCAGGGATGGAGGCCAAGGTGGTGCTTCTGGATAAGGCAGAACTTGATTTTGTAAGTTAAATGGCTTTTTCCTACCTCAGACCTAATCTCTTATTGGATTATTTCAGCAAATATTTACCAAGCACATACTCTGTCTGGTATGATGGCAGACATGGTGACAAGTCCCTGCCTGAGAAGCTTACACTCTGGCATGGAGACAGACATGAAACAAATGATCAGCTTCAAAGTGTATTTAACTTAGAAACAACATAAGAGCTGGGGAGGAGATGCTCAGCACAACAGGGCAGCAGGATTTAGACTGGAGACAGGAGAAGGGGTGAGTAAAACACAGAGGGGAGGGAGAGAAGTTCAGGTGGAAGACCCTGAGCTGGGAAGACTTGGCAGAAGGTGGCGAAGAAGAAGCTGAAGTGGTGGGGGGGTGGGGAGGCAAGTGGAGGCCAGCTGAATTCTCTCATGTGCAAGTGCATGCTGGTATTCAATTTGCATACTGAAATTGTTTGGGGAGGTAACAGCCACTTCTAAGATTATTTACATGTCAGCAGACACCTGCACAATTTACCTTGTAAGCATTAGCAGAGCTAACACAGAGTATGGGTATCGTTTGTACCTGGATTTGAACCCCAGCCTGACACCTGATGGTCACATGATCGTAAGTACTATGCAGCTGCTCTAAGGCTGTAAAATGATTGCTAGCTAGTCACCCACAGGGTTTCCAAGAGGAAGAGATGAGGCGTGCTAGTACAGATGCTGGCACACAGTAGGTGCCCTTAATGTGTTAGTGTATGCAGGAATAAATTAGAGAAAAAGTTTACACTGAGATCTTGAGTGTCTTGAGGACAACTTCAAGGTTACACAGAAAGTGGGAAGTATTTGTTCAAGGCAAGGTACAGTCACTTGCAAGAGATGCTGTCAATCTGGATGGGAGTGTCATGGTGGAAACTGGGGCATCAAGCAGAGCTTCGGAAGAGAGACATTTGCACAGTGGGGGGAGTGGCCCCTTGGGAGCTGTAAAATCCTGCTTCCAAGGTTTGTTCTCCTTGCTCACAAGGCCCATCAAAATATAGGGGTGCAGAGAGCCCCGCATTGTGTCCTTAGGGAGGCCACAGAAAAGGGGAAAGCATACCCCAGAATGCCCAGAGGAAAGAGAAAACTAGTCTCCCGCACCACACACACAAAGCCTGGAGCTGGGTGGAGATGCCCCACCCACACTCTCTCCAAAACCCTCAAGCATAGCTACACCTAAGAGGAAATGCAAAAAGAAAAGGATCAAGTCCCTGTTCAAAGTGCTTCACAGCCCAGGGCCAAGCACTCTAGTCAACCCTCTGCCACACTGGGGCCTTCCAAGTGGGCAGGCAGGTCTGGGCACTTGAACCCCTAGGGAGTCTGGACACTCTGGCATTCCTACCGGTGACTGCATTCCCCCACCCTGTGCACATCAGAGGCCACACCTCAGAAACACTGCCATCTTCATGTCTCAGTGAAGGTGACTAAAGCACAGGGAGCTTTTAGAGCTCTCCACCAAGAAAAGACATGCTCGTTTGCTTATCTTCCTCTTCCTCTGTGGGCAAAAAGTAGAGACGAGGCTCTGAGTGGTACCTGCTCGTTCATTAGGGACTGGAAGAGTTAAGGTCTGCATGTCCAGACAGTGCTGGCCATCAGAACCTCCAGGGACCCAAGAGGAGCAGGCTAGGCCCCTATAGTGGCTAGTGCACTACGATATAGTTGACAAATAGTAAAATTCGCCCTTTTTGATTGCTGGTTCTGTGAGGCCTGAAGAGCACATACATTCCTGGAATGACAGCCTTCATGAATATATAGAACATTTCATCACCCTAAGAAGTTCCCTAGGGTCTTGCCCCTTTACACACAGCAGATGAAGGTCCTATTCTCTCTGACGTTCATTCCCCAAACTTCCACCCCCTTCAGGATCTCCCTACACTAAGGATCCTGTGTTTGCATCTTTGATTCACACAGATGAGCTATTCTAAAGACAGTCTGACTCTCTTTACTTTCAGCAAACAGGTTTGAATGAACCTTAGCTCCTGTGTCCCCCAGTGACCTGCCCATTTGCCCTGAGTTCTGGGCTTGTGCTCCCCAAATTCCTGGCAGCCCACCAGGAGTGTGGAAAGAAACACAAAAGCAGGATGGCAGCCCTCATCACAGGCAGTTTCATGGAGAGTGGTAAGGGAGGCATGCAGGCAAGGATGCTGCCGACTGGCTTCCTGTGTGGCACCCATGGCCCCACCACCTTCCTGGGCTCCTGGGCGCATGTCACGGAGCTACAGGGAGGGCCAACTGCCAGGAGACCCCAAGTTCTTATTTCTAGGCACTTCTCTTGGTCTTGTGTTAAATGAAGGTTAATTATTCTGTCATCTCTTCAAGGAAAACTGAAGTTACAAAGAATATATTTTCACCACAGTCATGGCTCAGTGCAGGGTACCCAAGCTCATTTGAAAACCCACCCTGACCTTCTCAGGTGTTTCTTCATAAAACAATACAGGTGATGCCCAACTCTCTCTCCCTTCCTCAGGATGCACCTGCCCAGCTCAGCACTATCTCTTCTTGCTTGGAGAGCATCCTCCCCTTTTTGGGTCAGCAGGTTCACAAGCAGGCAAACAACCGATTTCCTCTCACAGGAGAAGTGAAATATTGTTTTAACATCAGGCTCTAACAGAATCAAAGCCTTTCCAGCCTGTTTTGAAAGTGTGATTGTGAAGTCAAAAACTCTGGGAATGTGTTAATTCAAAGTCATACCCACTGGAAACTGGGAGCAAACAGCAGAAGGGGTTCGGGTATCCAGTGAAAAGCACCAGGACTCGAAGCTAGGATCCATGGCAGTACCAATCCCAGCCACAGGCCAGACAGCCCCTGACTGTCTGCTTGAAATGGATCTTTAAAGAGGACATTTCATGACTGCTATTATCCTTAGAAAAGCCAGCTCCTCTCCTTAGCATTGGTGAGTGGGACTTGTCCTGGAGTCCTCCTGGGGCCTCCTGGCTTCACACTGAGGCTGGCCCCAGCTCTTACTCATGGGATGTTGGACACAGGCAAGTCTCACTTCAACCTCCCAGGAGGAGTAAGGGACATTTCAATAGTCTCTAGAAATCTCCCCTCTTCTTCTACCTTTCACTTAATCCCACTCAGATTGCTTGAGATCAGGCACCCATCTCTCATAGATGGGTAACCATCAGCCTTGCACACCATCACCCTCATAATCGGGGCACGGGTGTTACATTTGTCTTGAAATGGTGATGGAAGCTAAAAGGGTGATTTTACAATAAGTTGATTCCCATCTTTCTTCAAACACTCACCCTTCTCCTAAGAGGTGGGACTTCAGAAATCCAACAGTAACATGAGGAGAAGGGAAAGTCTGAGAAGGCATGGGGCAGCTCCGGGCTACTCTGTTGGTTGTGTCAAGCTTCTGGAGCAGAGGGCAATGCCATAATGAACCTGGAGCTAAGACAGATGGAGCAGCATGCTCACAGAGAGCTGCCCACAGGCCCATGGGGATGG